AAATAAATCCACCAAAAAGAAAACTATCTTCATTAACACCCACCCAAGGGAAAAAAAAAATGTGAATGTTCTTGAGCCTAGTTAAAAATAAAAATTTTTTTAAATTATAATTTAGCTATTATTTATTAAGTATCCACCTTTCTGTGCTGCAGTTTCTTCATATGTAAAAATGATAATAATTCATCGAATCATTCATTTGTGGTCTCCTATGTATATTTCAAATTGGTATCTTGTCCTTGTCTCATAGATTTGTGTGTAGCAGAAAGGAGAAGCTGCCTGAAGACAGGGGCTGTAGGGATTTTACAAATTAGAAAAAAAGAATGGACTAGAGAAATTGACAGTGCGTGTCTGTATTGATTGGGGCATGAGGTTACATCAGAAAATGCACAGAGCAAGGCAAATAGAGAAAAAAATGTCGATTTAGGAGACGGGAACGTGCCAGCATCTAGACAAAAGTGGAAAGAGAAATTCCATTTAGGGAGGAAAGCCACAAAAATGTATCTTTGTGCTTTTAGTTCCTTTAGGAGCTTTTACGTCTCACAAATTCATTATGATTGCGTGAAGCCCACTCAGCAGCTCCCAAAGCTATTTGGGTGAGATTTACATGAAAGTCCAGCATTTCCCTAACTTTGGTGTCTAGGTTTAGAAAAGAGTTTCTCTCTCAGTTTTCAACCTGAAAACTGTTCCTCTCTCAGTTTTTAAGCCACTCCTACTAGCCAAATAATTTTTATGTCATTTTCCCACTGATTATATCATAATGACCATAAGATTTTTCAAGGGGCATTCAGTTCCAAATATGCAATTAGGTGACAGAAAAAACTTACTGAAATATTATTTTAGAGTTTGCCCAGCACATGTTTCTGTCCTGTCTCCAAAAAGGTCACTAGGATCTTGCAGATCTTCCTGAATATTTTGCTCTGTGAAAGACAACGACTTTGGCATATTGCTGCTGGGGTGTGTGTGTGTAGGACTGTAATAAACGAGACAATGAGACCACCCGCCTCTGCAGCAGAACAAGCACTGGTGAATGGCCTTAAGTTCACTGAAGGGAAAGAAATACTACGAGTATTTCCTGTACCCTAGCATTCACAGAGCAAGATTCATCTTAGTTAGAAGCACATTGTAATCTTTTTTTTTTTTTTTTTTTTTTTTTTTTTTTTTTTTTTTTTTTTTTTTTTTTTTTAAAAGCAGGAGATTGAAACTAGACCCACATCTCTCACCATTTACTAAAATCAACTCAAAATGGATTAAGGATTTAAATATACACCCTGAAACAATAAAACTTATTAAAGAAAATATAGGAGAAACCCTTCAGCAAATAGGGCTGGGCACAGACTTCATGAATATGACCCCAAAAGCATGGGCAACCAAAGGAAAAATAAACAAATGGGACTATATCAAACTGAAAAGTTTCTGCACAGCAAAAGAAACAATTAACAGAGCTAAAAGACAGCCAACAGAGTGGGAGAAAATATTTGCAAAATATACATCTGACAAAGGACTAATATCCATAATATATAAAGAACTCAAACATCTTTACAAGAAAAAAACAAGCAACCCAATTAAAAAATGGGCAAAAGAGCTAAGTAAGCATTTCTCTAAAGAAGATATGCAAATGGCCAACAGTCATATGAAAAAATGCTCAACATCACTCAGCATCCGGGAAATGCAAATCAAAACCACACTGAGATACCATCTCACCCCAGTTAGGATGGCCAAAATCCAAAAGACACTGAAAGATAAGTGCTGGCGTGGCTGCGGAGAAAAAGGAACTCTCTTACATTGTTGGTGGGAATGCACAATGGTGCAACCCCTATGGAAAATGGTTTGAACATAATTTTTTCAAGCCTCTACTCCTCTCCCTTGAGATACTAGCATGTTCTGATGAATGATAATGTCCCCAGTGCTCCATTTCTAAAGAGATGATGGTTAAAGGGATTAAAAAGGCAAGGGGAGGCTACTCTCAGATTCTTCCCCCTGAAATCATACTGCACTCCAGTGTATATCAGAGCAACTCATCAACAACTATAATAGCATGTACTCCAGAGCTACTGCCCCTTTCTAGGTACCCTGTTCTCTCCCTTCCCCTCTCTTGATTCTCTGAGGACTTTCCATCCCTACTACCTGGCGTTGGAGCCCCCTGGGCTTGTCTGAACACATAGAATTTGAAATATCTGCATGATTGCTGCAGCTGGCAAGCCACAACCTCCTATCTAAAATTACCTCCTGCTTAAACTTTTCGGAGAAGAGAGAATGAAGGGCAGAGGGCCCTGATATTGCCAAGGGGGACCATCTTGTTATGAGATGTTGTGGGCCAGAAACTAAGGTAAAAACCAAGGCAGCTCCTCATTGAGCAAACAAAAGTTTCTTATTTGGACCTGAGCACTGCAGGAAAACCACTGCCTCTAGTCTCAATGGAGATACTGAGGCACAGTGTGGATGGCTACTCTTCAGAGAGAAGACATAGGGTGTTCTGAGTTGGAAAGGAATGTAGGAAAGGTCATTACCTGAGTCTCTCCTCCCTGAGAACGTCACACACACACACACACACACACACACACACACACACACACACACACACACAGATAAGACTTGGATTTTCATAACAGGCATATCGAATGTACAAGCTCACTATTATTACTTTGTGGTGCACATTTAAACAAATTCATTTTCGTCAAAAAGTGGGTGAAGTTAAAGGAAATAAGTCAGTGATAGTAGATGTGATACAAACTATTTGAAAGTTGCTGTAGAAAGATTAAGTTTTTTCTAGACCTACAAAGCCATCTGTTATATTGAGGGATGAAGCTATAGATCTCATGATGCCAGAAATTGACCACGGAACAAAAAATAAGTGTGCTTAACTGAATGTAACCAAGACACTTGTTGGTCGACCCTCTCAAGGAGAGATGGAAGAATATGGAATTTGATCAAAAGATAACTATTTGAATTGTGTAACTAATGATATTGAAAGTGGAGAAAAAGAAGAAAATTATATTAGAACTATAAAAAAGAATTGAAAAATTATCAGTAGAAATTGGGGTGAGATAGTGGGGTGCTGAGCAGTGGGAAAAATGGAAGAGAAGAGAGAGAGAGCGGATATAAAATACAAATGTTAACTGTGTTCCTTTTATTAGGAATGATCTAAGCTTAATGACATTAGGTGCAACCTAGGGTTGCCTAGCAAATATGTCTCCAGGTTCCAGTGCATTTGTACACCATTCCTTAATTCTGTTATAACAAGTTTCAGGTTGACACCTTGGCTAAAGACAGTTATTTCTGAATTCATGTCACTCTGCCATTCATATATCTTAAAACAAAGAGGTGTCCTCATTTCACCGATGTTTGTGCTGATGAATAAGAAGTGTAAATAGCTTCAGGAACATGCAAAGCTGGCAAGTAGGAATTCTCCAAATAAAAACCCCCAAAGTTTAATCCTGAGACACTGTTTTTGGTGTGAGCCAACTGAGGGTCAGCACTAGGCTGCCTGTCGTCAGTCACCAAGGTGGAGGTGTGTTGAGGGGGGCATGGTGGCAACAGTCCATCAAGAATAGAAGTGTCTGCTATGGGAGAGACATTATAAGCATTACCTTACCTCCTCCTCACCATAGCCCCATAAAAGAGAAATCTCATTACCTCCATTTTTTTCCCAGAGGAGGAAACATTTTTTTCAGAAAAGAGACAATTTGTCCAGAAACCTTCACTGACACTGGGATTTGAGCCCACATGATCTGGCTGCAGGGTTCAACATGTAAACACTGAGCCCACAGACTAAAGTTGTTGCCCTTGTACCGTAAAATTTGAGAAATGCAATGGAGAAAAGGAAAGAAGTGTAAGAAGTGAGGGAATGTTGGAGTGCATCATGAGTGGGCAGGCCACTGGAGAATAATATCTGTACTTGAAACATTCACATAGCAATGACAACTCAGAGAGGGAGAGAGAGAGGAATAATATCTTTGACAGGTGTAGCTCCACAAGCTTAAGATTTTAATTTAAAGAAGGTTAAGTAAAACTAAATGAGAAAGAAAGGCAAGAGTATATAAGAAAATATATATGTGTGTGTGTGTGTGTATATACACACATAATTTTATATACATACATGTATATATGCACACACATGTACACATATATATAGTTTATACATACGTATCTATGTATACTTTTATAGAGCAGGTCCCTAAATCCCTTAAAATGTTCAACTCCCTTGATGTCTGCCCTGGAACTGAAGAATTTCACTTCAGATTCAAAGCACTCACATGAAAGATTAGCCTTACCCATGAATAACTCTCATATCCAGAAATTGTTTCCCAGCCTGTACAAAGATTCTACTAAGTCCTCATCAATGTTAGGTTTGAATGAACTGATGACATGTTAATGACATGTATATTAACAGTAGCTTTCTTAAACACACAAATACATAAGTTTTCTAAGAGTCATGCATATTAAAAGTGGCTTTGGTAGCTTCAGTAAGATTCGTGAACTCATGAAATGTCATTTTGCTCTTTGTGTTGTTTATTGAAATTAATTTAAAAAGTAAAGGTGTTGATGCAGTTATGGTTGCTACTGTGCTTTTGTCTTAACTGCCTCAATAATTAGGCATCAAAGTCCTCAGGTATTCCAGAGAGTTCCAGTCACAAGATAAAGAGATACATTTGAAATAGTTAATTTGGAACTGTTGGAATATTCTTTGAAAGGTAAGAAGCCATGAAATTATCTTTTTGTCTTCTTTAAAAATAAACACAGGTAATATCACAAATAAAATTAGTGTGGTTTGATCCCCACCTCCACCTTCTTTGATATTCTGTTACAGAGATTTGCAACTAAAAGTGTCTGGTAATGCTCGATTCCTCTTTTGATTTGGTGTGTCACTCCCAAGTCTTTGTAAAGTGAAAAAAAAGCAAACTTGTAAATGAATTGCTCTGGAATTTCTGTCTGACTGATGCATTTTCTTTTATTTATTTCATTTTTTGCATTGAAAACATTACATTTCTGTTTCCTTATAGAGTAGTGTATCAAGAGCCTGTGTATGGCAATAAATTGCTGCAGGTATGAAATCTCGACTGGTGGAAAATCATCACGATGATTGGGGGTTTGATGTGAAATCTTTACTAACAAGACAATTTTGGGGATGGGGAAATGTTCTCTAACAAAAAAGGAGAAAAGACTTAACTGAATTTTCCAGTTTTAATGTGAATTCTTCTAGAAGAGTGATGGTCATCTCCTTATCTTCTGATATGTCCACTGATCAGGTTGAGGCAGTTCCTTGCAAATAGTAGGGCTGTTCTCAGGACTGATTTTAGTTGGCCATGGCCATAAACTTTGCTGGATTGTAAGTGTATCAAAATGGAGGTCTAGCTTGGCTATTAATTTTTTTGCTTAAAATGTATCCAGGCTCAATCAATATAAATTCAGTGAGAGAATTAGAGGGTTTCATTGAACCAATTATCTGGGTAATTTTTTTAGTGGGTTCCTGGAGTCAGCTGGAATGGTTAAATCAAAAATCTCTTACACATCCAGCAAGAAGGGTCAGCATAGCTAACAGCTGACTTAACCCGCCCTGGTTTCAACACAGCTGGTCAGAAATTTATTTCACTCCTATTCCTAGCTTTCAAACCTATTGCTGCTGGAGCAACCCCCAAATGAACAAATTTGCAGGAAGAAAACATAGTCAACACATCTGTGTAGTATAGCTGGCTGAGAATCTCCAAATTTGGTCTATAACCAATATTACAGCTGTGGAATAAAATGAAAGATGAATGTGAAACTGAGGGTGATTAATGGGAGTTTTATTACATGGGTTTTCCTATGTCCTACAATTCCCATTTTTATTCATTATTAAGTCAATTAACAAAGTCTTTTTTCTTTCTTTTAGCATGAGAATTGATCAAGTCTTAATAAAAAATAAATGTGATGGATATGAAAAGGGGCACTTGGACCTAAGAGAGGGCAAAATAGTTAAAATTCTTGAGATTAACTTTTGTTGTCATATATTTCAAGAAAACTGGATTTTCACTGCCACACTTCCAAAACAGCTGAATGTATAATGCAGATAAATGAGAGCATCATGATTTATATTTAGTTTTTCATTTTATAAATGTTCCGTCAACGTTACAGTAAATAAAATTAGATTTGTATGTATACTGATACCCCTGTTTTGCATAAAGTGAGACCAGACCCTCAGATATTCTCAGGAAAAAAAGGAAGCCTCTGTCTGTGGTTAAGCCCATTACAACTTTCGTATGTGCTTAAGCTGAAGGGTCCACATGCAATCACATACATATTACAGCTCTACTTATGACCATGTCCTCACCACACACAAAGGTTTCACCTCTCTTTCTAACTAATTCATTATTTGGTTATTGCAAGACCTTTTTGCATAATTATAAAGTGCAAACTTTGATACCCATTCTTTTTTTTTTTTTTGTCTTTTTCGTGACCGGTAAGGGGATCGCAACCCTTGGTGTGGTGTCACCCGCACCACACTCAGCCAGTGAGCGCACTGGCCATTCCTATATAGGATCCGAACCTGCGGTGGGAGCGTCGCTGTGCTCCCAGCGCTGCACTCTCCCGAGTGCACCACGGGGCCGGCCAGATACCCATTCTTGATACCCATTCTCAGACTTCTTTGAGATGCCTTAGATATCCTCAATGTTCATCAATTTTGTGTTAAGAAATCTCCCAAATGGAGTAACTGGTTTTATTTTGTTTAACCCAGCATTTCCCAAACCTATTTAGTTCTGGATACTTTCCATTCCCTACCAATATTCGTATCCCACCAAGTACAATTATGAAAATGCTTTATTAGAGCATCATCTGAGGTCCTTAATGGATAACTAGGCCATGGGACCTATAGAGGTTTCACTACCAAAGGAACCTTTTCTGTCCATGCCAGTGGATATCTTCAATGGCCACATTAAGTGGTGGTGGTGGTGGCCGTATGAAGTCCATCTTAGGGGGGATCCATAGTGGTCATTTAAAATGTATTTTTATATAAAGTCACATTTATATTTCACTGTGAAAAATGAGTATGTTTTATGGATGGGGGTGTAAAACTGTTGTGCCTGTCATCCCCTTTTCCTTTTCATTTATTGGTGGGAAGAATCTGATTGTCAATAACACATTTTTGTCATAAGGTCTGGGAGCACCAGGTTCAATGTGAACACAGGCTGGTGACAGCAAATGGAAATGAGTGCTCCTTTTTCTGACATTACCCCAGAACCCAGCAGAAGTTCTGGCTATGCGCAGCGAGCTGCAAAATAAGGAGCAATAAAATTGATTAGAGTCACCTGTTAGAAAGGAAAATTAAAGCAATTTGTATTTTTTTGATCATTTTACAGTATATGCACACATACACTAAGTTAATACACAACTCTGTCATTCCCCTAATATGGACTTCACACAGAAGAAAAATAGCAAAGGAAGAGAGTGCAATATATAAAGGTGGAGGTCTCAAGCCACCTAATTCACTTTCCCCAATTACTACATTTCAGGGATCACTTAGATTTGTGCTATGTCCAGTAGTATAGCCACCAACCCCATGTGGCTATCTACATTTAAATTCAAATTAACTAAAAGAAAATAAATTAGAATTTCAGTTAGTTGCACTAACCATATTCGCCAAGTAGTCCACTGGACAGCAACAAGACGACTCATCTAATTCAAAATCTCTCTACTGGCTCCAAAGACTTTTGCAAAGTGTGACCTCAACTCCTCAATCAGGAATAAGTGTAAACAAATGCCTGAATAACAAAGACAAACATCAGGGTATTGAGCACTTGTGCCTGTCTCATATAGAAACACACACTTATATTCTAGAAATGGCCAAGACATGTACAAATATATAGAGCAGAGGTCATTCCCAAACCCTCATAGGTGACCACATCTGTTGTACAGAAGGACCCAAGGTGTACACACCTGTATTTTATGTTGCTACTATAAATATCAACCTAGTAGTCAGTGAGGTTCATTTTTGTTATATCCTATTTGTACTGTAGCAGTTCTCCCCTTTTATCAGACTTGCTACCTACTTTTACTGAAACTACTGCAGAAGTTTGGGGAGATGTGCACAGTTCAAACCAAGAGTGTTTGCAAATGGGTCATTGCTAGAAATCTTTGCTGGGACCAAATGCACAGTCACCGAATCATTATTTACATGGCACCTGAAACAAGCTCGTTTTTTGTTTTTGTTGTTCTAGGAGAGAGAGAAAACTCACTCTCTCTCTCTCTCTCTCACACACACACACGCACGCACGCACACACACACACACACACACACCACACACCACACACCACACTTTTTCTCCACTCAGTGCTTTCAGGCAGTTGCAGCTAATACCTCCTAGGAATCAGCTAGTCAATTCTCATCTCCTCCTACCTCATTAAGTTTAATATGCATACCTGCACACCTCTGTCATTCTGTGTGCATCATAAAAGCTAAGATGATGGGCAAGCAGTTTTTTAAAAATGGCTCCAAAAATCTGGTGACCTGATTTCTCCTCAGCCTCTCATTCTGTATCTTGAACTCAGTGCTGGTATGACAATTGATTTGGTTTTGTAACCCCTCAGCACACGTTAATGAGTTTCCCCATTCCTAATAAGAGAACATGGTGTTTGGAACACTAAAACCTCTCTCTCTTTTTTTTATCATCTACATTGTTCGTCAAAAAAGACTTTTTAAATTTTTTTTAAACTGGCTCCAAATTGTTGATGATTATCTGTCAGGATGTCTTGGATGTATCTTCTCCGGGGCTGATACAAAAAACAAAATTCTTTAAGGATAAACTGGCCTTTTTGAATTGCGATGCAAGAGATAGCAGATATACTCTGAAAATTAGCCATGGCAAGGAGGCAGTACAAAGAAATTGTTTAGACCAGTCTACCTACATTCTGAAAGATGCTTTTTGCAGTTTCTCTGCTTCATCTAATTCCTATCCTACAACTTAGTGTCCCCCTGTACATGAGGCCACATGTAATGAGCCCCTCCCACTCGGGATTTTGCTGATAGATACCCTCTGACACACCATTCTGTCCTGCATTGCTCCTTTTTGGTGAAGAGGAAAATCCTTCCCCCAGAGGATTATGAAACTATGTATTCTAATTAGAACCTGAACGGCCCTTGTGTTATCAGTGGAAACTGGATCCTGTTTGTTAATTGTGCTGAGATCATACACCACAGTGGTTGATGTATTGCTGTGGTCCATTGAGCAAGAAGCTCTGTTATTTTCACAGTTTGATAATTAATGCTCCACTGAACACGATTTTCTTTCCTTTTTTTTTTTTTTTTTTTTTTTGGTATGTCCATTTTTTTGTCCTCTTTGCTTAATTGAACAATTGCAATTATTGGTTCATGCAACTAAATGTTAATTATTTTTCTTTTCAGATTTTTCTCTCTCTTAATGATTTTATTTTCAAATTAGAAAACTTTACCATGTATTCCACACCAAAAAAATTCCACCATCTGAACGAGTGTGACACATAGCAGCGTGCTCTCTTTAGCCAAAAGAACAGGATTTTTAAGATGTGTTCACCATTCGTTTTTGTAATACTTATGTGACATTTAGAAAGCAAAAGATAGTCTTTTTCAATGGTATTAGTGGTTAAATGACCACATATACAAGATATTACTAATAAACTCTCAATCAAAAGGTTATCTGATTTTTTAAATGAATACAAACGTAAGACAGGAGAGCATGAGCTTGATACTTTTTATTTTGTAAGGAAATAATCAAAGATCATTTGAATGCAACTTAAGTTAATATCTAATAAGGAAAAGTAAAGCATAATCAATTTTAAAAATCTGGAAAGTTCAGCAAAGTATAAAGAGTGTTTAAATTATGTCCCGTAATGCTCCCTATCCGAAGACAATCACCATTAACATTTAGTTATGTTTCCTTCAGAGGGTATATGGGTTCTCCCTTTGGGATGTGCTTACAACTGCTAACCTTTAACATTCAGCTGGGGTTGGTATTCTACCTCGCATCTCTCTAGTGTGTTTTGTCCTTCTGCTTTGATACTAAGCTTTCATTAACCACAACTTTAGATTGGTAGATTTGAGTAACTGCTCTTCTGGTGTGATCTTACCACTAGGCATCATCCTGAATTGGGCTCCTCCGAGTACCTAAGTCAAATTTCCTCTTGTGTTGTAGGGTGGTTATGCTGCATACCGCTACGCCCAGCCTACCCCCGCCACTGCCGCTGCCTACAGTGACAGGTAAGAGTCTTCCTTCTAGTGTTTGGCAACTACTTGGAAATTAACTTAGCTGGTGGGAGAAATTCTCGTCTGGTCTTGGTGAAAATGCATGTCTGCTGGGGAGGCAGTACCCACAATTTTAGTTCCCAGGGTGAAGGTCAATGCAAGGCCACATAGAGGATGAAGGATGAAGCCTAGTTCATTCTAAACTCCTTTCCCTCTTTCCTAAGACACAAAGAAAAGGATATGTTTTGTCCCTGTATAGTTGTTTTTCAGATCTCTTGTTCCTATGACAACACACCTTGTGCACACACACACACCCCTATGCACACACATGTACACTCCCTGTACCCCGTTCCTGTGGTCTTCCATCTAAGACCATGGTTTCATCTAACTCATAGGAAGAAAAACTGAAGATGATCCTGTAGTTTTAACTCAATTTCAAGCACCTTATTTCCCTTTTTACAACTTTCTATACCCAGTAAAACATTCCCTCCATCGAATTTTTAAATCCAAAATAAATGGGGGAGTGTATCTGGTGTTCATAAGGATATTCATTGACTCATTCTTTTTGGCTATGCTCAGTGTCCAGTCCTACAAATATAAGTCACCTTTCCTTTGTAATGCACCCACATATGAAGACTGGCAGTGGAAGGGACTGAAGTGTGTTTGAGAAGTGTAGAAGTCAGAATGGACGGGCCAGGAGTTGAGGGAGGGTTTTATAACCCAGGCTTCACTGATGAGTTGGTTCCTGAAACAGCAAGCCATAGCTATTTCTGTATGGGTGCCTGGAAAAAAGAAAGTATGTGTTTCCATATTGAATGCAATTCCTTGGCTCTGTTTTCTGAGGATCTAAATGTGAATGTTCAGATGCTCTGCATGCACAAATGTCATTGAGGGTGCTTATTCTGGTAGTGACTCCTTTACTTTAAAATATATGTTTCATGAATAAAACAATAATGGTAACAATTTGCATGTATGGCTGAGGCATGCTGGGTCAGACAGGTAAGCAGGCGATGATGGATTGGACCCCTGAATGGGAGGTGTCAGCAACCACTGGTTCTTCTACCTGGCCTGTTGTGATTTAGTTCCTACCTCGGTTTGCTGTGGTGTGCTTTCTCCGCAGTTCCATTCCATTTCTCACTAGATGTGTTGTTAGCTCGTCGTAGCTACAGAATTCTTCTGCAACATGATAAAGCAAAATAAATCCTGAACCCTAAAAGCTGCGCTTTGAAATTCCCATGCATAAATGTGTAACAAGTGGCTCTTTGGCATGATAGAGTTGAGATCTGCTGTCTGGTTATATGTAGGTATTATTATTTTTTTTTTATAAACAGCCATAACAAGTTCTTAAGGCTACAGAGAGCCTTCAAAGAAATCCAAACGATTGTCAAGACACCATTCTAAATACGTAAATTATCCAGTTACCCAGTAATTAGTTGCCAAGATGCAAAATATGTTTCATGTAAATTGTTATCTTCAATACATTTTGACACTGGATTAGGAAAATAGAGAGGGTCAATAACACTAATAAAAATGATGACAATCTTGAAATACTCAAGATCATTCTGCAAATGAAAAGGCTTAATGCTATTAAATTCTCCACACTGAAGACCCACACAGTCTCATTTGTAATGTGGTTCAGCTATAACCCTTAATTATTTTTATGAAAATATCTCTAGATGCTAAATTCTCAAACATCCACTTTGTATACAATTATAATCATAGTAACTTTAGCCTGCTGTATAATTATAAGAATCTGAAACGGATTTATTTCTTTGAATGTTTATCTTCCTTTTCAGTATAAGTGCATGCATCCCCAAGTTGAAAAAAGGTTAATTACAAAGATGTAATTTAAATTGCCTTCTTCAATGAGACCAATCTAGACATTTGAAAAAAAAATAATAAACAATGTTTAATACTATTCTTGGATAGAATTACTTGAGAATCTGGCCATCTCTGCTTGAATTCATCTAAAAGTTAAGTTACAATTTTCTGCATTTTGGTACACCATATGTGCACATATATGTATAAAATCTGTTATTTTAATACTATTAAGATTTATGGTTGGCAACACAACCTACTGAAAAAAATGTCCTCATACTTGGATTGGCAAACCTTTAGTAACTCCACAATTTCCACAATTCCCACTTTAGTGTAACAGTTTCAAGAAACTAACTAACTATACTCTTGTCCATGTAATTGGCCTCTTGTTGTTCATTAGAGAAATTTGCACAATAAGTCTTCTTGGTTGCTGTGGAAATTGATTACTAGCCCTATTTAACTTTATGATAAGCAAGACACTTGCCACATATGGAATTATTCATTGAGATAAATCCAGTAATAGGTAAATTACCAGAAAACAATCTTTAAGATGATGTTTCTGGTTTGATTCATAAAGTGTCTCTATTAAGTGCTGGTATTTTCTTGTATTCTTAGTACACAGATATACAGAAGGAAGACCCTTTTATAGAAGACACGTATTTGTGGGAAAATGTGAAATTATCAGAATAGCTTTTGACTATAGATTAAAGATGTCAACTATCTAGAATTCACCTCAAGACCATAGGATAATAAATTATATTTATACCATGACAGGATAATATCAGTAGTGATAAGCTCTTAGTTCCTCTTCTCTACAAGGCAGGCAAGATGACAAAAAGAAATACTTCTGAACAAAAAGAAACCCCTTCAGTTAAATTAGTAGGAATTGAGAATGTTTTGGTAATGCTCACTGGTTGCCAATTTGATCAGAAGAGAAACTGGAACAAACTTTCCCTATAATCATGAGATTCACTCTTCAGGTGTATTGAAAGCAAAAGATGTTCGATGTCCCCAGCTGGTAGAATTTTACCTTTCATCAGCACAAATTAAGCCCTCATCAAATTAAAGATTCAGGGACCTTTGAAAGATATTGAACTTCCGTAACCTCAGGACTGTCCAGAAGGTCCTTGATAGGTACCTTGCAATTCCCTGCCCATCATCATCTTGGTTAAATGATCATATGCTGATTATCTCAGAGCAGCCTGAGAGTCTCTGAATGTTGACCTCCAGAATGAAGACCATCTGGTGTGGGCAGAGATTTCCCCAAAACAAAAAGACCTGACTGGACTAGGTAATTTTATAGTCTCATTGACAAATTTAATGGAGATAGGTGATCATCTTTTCTTGGCATTTAGGAAACATTTGGTATGCACTTGATCTCACCAAATCTTTATTTTTAATCTCACTTTGATTTTTGGAGAGCCAACTGTCTAAACTCTCAAAGGAGATTGTTTTCTGAGCTTGAACCAATCAAAGCATGGCAGTGGGGCCTTCAGTCATCTGGTCATTGCATGCCAGTTGGTGTTGCTGATGTGTCTGTGATACGTTCTGGATTTGACAGGCCCATCACATTAGCTCGATGAATGGCTTGCTTGAATTAAGCCTGGGGGCAGGCTTCTCTTTATGGATTGGCTCTTGGTTTCTTTGTATATTATGAATTGGTCGTTGTTGCATCTTCAAGCAAACTGGGCGGTGGGGAGGGGAAAGAATCCCTGTTCAATGAATTGTGCCACAAATATTTGGGAAAATATGTATGATGTGTACATAGCTTTGATGAAAATGTTATCTCTCCAGAAAGATGGACATTTGTCATGCTTGTCCTGCTTGCTGACACTCTTAACATTTCCTAACGATCAGTGCATGAAAACGTTCCTCCACATTAGGGCAGAAAGGAGCGAGCTATAGACCAGCTGTACAAGAAAGCAATACAGAGTGTTTCACTTTGAAATTTCATAACAATCCCATTGCACTGATAGTTACCAGGGGCCATTTCTTCTTTCACGTAAAACATGCATTTTCTTTAAAGATCCCCGAATGCCAAGAAGCTTGTGACATACAATGATAGCACCTTAGATGCATCTAAGGCATCCTTAGATGGAGTGAAATAGACTGAAACAACAGGGTTTTGTTTGTTTTATGTTATACCTCTTTTGTTTGTTTGCTTTTTGAGAGCTTAAGGTTTTACTGCCAACACAGTATTAGACTGTACCATATGAAACTGATATTTCTATCTGACAAAAAAATGGTGGGATATTGGCAAATCCGTGTAGCTCAACTTAATACAAATCCAAATAAAATGCCATAATATCAATTATCTTACTCTTTGCACGCGCGCGCGCACACACACACACGCACACATAAGCACCTGTGCCTTAGGGCCTCACAAATGAGTATCTAAAAGAGTAATTAAAAGAGTATTTAGGTTAATCTTAATACACAGAGGCCAGGACTTGTCAAGTTCAGGCAGTAACAAGCCACATGATAGAACGACCTTTAAATCTGACATGCATAACCTTAGAATAAAAGTATCTATTTCAGAGGAAAATAGTGTTTCGGTGTTATAACTCAATAGAGATAAGTAGGCATATCTTTAGATTCATGGAGGATTTGATTTACTTTTACTTAAAATCATATAGATGATAGAGATAGATCTATTGATAAATACATACATACAAACACAGAAATACATACAGGCATAGCTGGGTGGATGGATGGATGGATGGATAGAAAGAGATAGATAATAGGAAAATAGGTACATAGCTGTGTGGGTGAATAAGTGGAAAAAAGAAAAAAGAGAGAAAAAGAGAAAGAAAGAAAAGAAAGAAAGAAAGAAAGAAAGAAAGAAAGAAAGAAAGAAAGAAAGAGAGATTGTCTCTCTGCTCTCTCATAATGTTTCATCATAAGCTAAACTACAGAAAATAGAGCTAAATCCTTATGTACAACCTTAGTTCACACTAAACTGAAAAAAATAAAGGAATTTGAGTTGATATCCATTAGTGCAGGCTACTCCCTATCTGTTTTAGGACTTTCTATTTCCTCGACTCAGATTAAATAATAGAGAAATGCTGTCGTTAAAATAGGCAAATAATTGCATTTAAAATGATAAGCCATTTTATTTGGAGTTCTTATCAAATGCTATATACTAAAAATTAAGGGTTTGTCAGCATATAAAGCATATGAGCATCACGAATGGAAAT